AAATTTTTAAACCCAAAATCACGTGAAGTCCTATTTTCGAAAATTTTTATTGCATTTTTGAACAAATTACAAAATTGTTATTTTTGAAATTTGGCCATGTGGCGCAGAAATAGGAGGTCTTTAGACCGAGCCAACCATACTAAAAATAAGATCGAAAATTTGAACAATCAGAGAAGGAAGACACAAAAGGAGTGTGAAAGAAGACAAAAATTATCGCCTTTGGTTAGGACACAAAAGTCACCTCCACATTCTTTTTTGTAACATATTTTATCATAATATTTAAATAACTTTCTTTACCTGGTTGATAGTAATTGTATAAGTTCATATTTGTCATTGGAAAAAAAAATTATACAGATGAAGTAGAAGCACTTCTTTGAATACTTCTGTGGATACAATTTTAAGTTATCTTTTTTTTATTTTTAGCAATATTATTATACTTTAAAATATCATTATGTAATTAATAAAAATATTTAATGGACAAAAGTTTGTGCTGTGAACGACGTGCGCTGGTAGCACATGTTCGTTTCACGTGTGTTCGAGTAAATAAGGGTTTATAATATATAAGTGTATTAAATAAAAATTAAATAACGTGGATATAATAACAAAACCGACTAGTCAAAACCAATAATCAAAATAACTAAAAATCAAAACTAAATCAAATATGATTAATATACAATCCAAGGCTTAATTAGCATTCAAACTTTCGGCGGTACAAATCTTATGTTTTTTAGTTCCTGATAGTCTTTAAAAATTGGATGAACCTTTTGCAAAATTATTATGATCAAATTACAAATGACTAAATTTTGATCCCTGAAATTCTTGGTAATATCAATGTTCACTTTGTCTGGTTTTGTTGTAGCATGCCCCAAATAGAATGTCATAAAAAATTTAGTATGACATCTTTTCCCTAATCACCTAATATTTATTAAGGTTATCATTGTTATTTTTTAAAACTCGTTCGGATGTTCCTAAATTAATATTACTATAATAATATTATTATTTATCTATCCATTAGTATTAGTCAAAATATGACAATGAATACAGTTGCGGACATGATCTTCCGGTAACATAAGTAAAGTTTAATATTAATATTAATAATCGCTATTGTAAACGGATGTAGTACAATAAATAAATAGTGGACCACCCAACCACTGAAGTATTCAAGAAATAACTTTTTAAATAATGTAAACATCAGGTATTTAATTGTATTTGTCACATCAATCACTCCTACACCCAGGCCACCAATATTTGATATTTAATACTTTATCCAATTCTGAACTTTTTTTGAATTTTATTTAAAATGGAAGAAATAAAAAATACTCTTAATTCTTGGTCTGCTGAAAAAGAAAAGGTCTAATATAAAATTTTCAATTTAAATTATAAAATTTTTTTTTTGAAAGAAATTTATATACTCATATTGTTGTTACTGTTACTGTTATTGTGATAATATAGATACTTCTTGAGCCTTTTAATTATCTTTTAGCATATCCTGGTAAAGAAATTAGAACTAAATTAATCGATGCATTTGATTATTGGCTTAAGGTTCCAAAAGATCAATTAAAAATTATAGCAAAGTTGGTAGAAATGTTGCATACTGCCAGTCTTTTGTAAGCAATTATAAAAATTTTCCAATTTATCAACCAGTTTTTCATACATACGTGGTGAAACCTCTTTTTAAATATTCTGATGATTATAATAATAATAGAATTGATGATGTTGAAGACGATTCTACTTTACGACGAGGAGTTCCAGGTGAGCAATACATAAACACATTTATATTATATCATACATGTTGATAGTGATTGATTTATTATTAACGTTGATTTGGTTTTTTAAATTCTAGTTGCACATTCTATTTATGGCATACCTTCAACAATTAATTGTGCAAATTATGTATATTTTTTGGCATTAAATGAACTATCGAAACTTAATAATTCAAATGTTTTCCATATTTTTACAGGTATCGATTGAGAATATTTATGTAAAATTTTTGATAAACATATTCAAATTCACATATATATCAAATATTATAGAGGAATTATTAAATTTACATCGTGGTCAAGGAATGGAGCTTTATTGGAGAGATACATTTACATGTCCAACAGAGGAAGAATTTATTGGAATGGTTTCAAATAGTAATAACAATATTATTATAATATGTGATTTTAATATATGTTTTTACGATTGTATGATTTATTTATTTCTCATATATATTTACATATACGTTGTCATGATTATTATAGAAACTGGAGGTTTATTGCGTCTTGGGGTTAGATTGATGCAAGAATTTAGTGAATCAAAAGAGTAATTAAACAATCTATATATTTTATTATGAATTTCACAAAAAGGAAGAATTGATAATAAGTTGTTAAATATATATATATATATATATATATATATAATATAGAGATTATGTTGAATTAGTGAGTATTATCGGTATTCATTTCCAAATAAGAGATGATTATATGAATTTACAATCTGAAAAGGTGAATAAAAATGATGATGATAATGATGATAATGGTGATGTTTGAAATTATTAATGATCATCATAATTAATACTTATATGTATATAGTATGCCGATAACAAAGGGTTTTGTGAAGATTTAACTGAAGGAAAGTTTTCTTTTCCAATTATACATTCACTTCATAAAGATCCTAACAACAGACAATTATTCAGTATCCTTTTTTAAATAAAATTATAATTTTTTTAATATTTTTAAAAAGAATTATTTCTTAACTCCACAAAACCAATAAAGATATATTAAAGCAACACACAACATCAATTGAGTTAAAGCATCATGCTATTAAACTAATGAAAGATACAAATTCATTCGAGTACACAAAGAATTATCTGGCAAAAACTGAAAAAGAGGCAAAAGAAGAAGTTGAAAGATTAGGCGGAAATCCTATGTTGGAAAAACTTATTGATACTTTAAGTGTTAAAAATCAATAGGGTTTACAGCTTGCATTCAATTTATTTATTTAACATTTATTTTTTAATCAATAAATTAAAAAAACCAAAAGCTTTTGTTTCTTCAAAACGAGCATTTTATTTTAATATAAACAACAACAATAATAATAGTCTTTAATTTAAAAAAAAATTTGTTTTTATTTAAAAATGCAATTTGAAAGAAAGTTTTTGATAAAGAGATGAAATAATGTTGGACAAGATGACAATGATGATAATAATACTATATAAAGATTTTGGATGTCTAATTATTTTATATATTGTGTATATATGCATAAAGAACCTAAAATTAAATATACAAAAAACGGTTTTTGCTATGATGAAAAAAGAATGCTATGATTTTTAAAGTTGATGATTTTGTCTCAACAGCATCAAATAATAGAAATTGTTCAATTTTATGAAAAAGAAAGCAATTAATTGATAGTTGTGATTTTTAAGTAAAGTGTTGATAACATGAGTCAAGTATTATTATTATTATCCACATTAATGATATTATTGGTTTTTATATATGAATTAGAGTTTCACCAATGATCGTGCCAACTAGTTCAGAATTATTTTCTATTGTTGATGGTAATTCACTATTGATACTGCATTGTTAACATTGGTACTACTGTTATCATTATTGTTATCATTGTCATTATTTGTATTATCATTATTGTTATCAACATCAACATTGTTATCAACATCAGCATTGTTATCAACATTAACTTTATCTGCGTTAACATCTTTATCAATATTGTTACTATTATTATTGTTATTATCATTATTATCATCATTATTTGTAGCATCTATAGCATTTAATTTTTCTTGTGGGTTCATCGATTTTATGTCTGTCGTTGACTGCTGCCGTATTGTCGTAATAAACTTTAATCTTTCTTCATGTGATAATGCCATAAATAATAATGAGCGGACATCAAAATCAGGATCTTCTGCAAGTTGTTTAATCATATCAATGATTTGTGATTTGCTCATTGGATCCTGATAATATTGTTCTTATTAAAAAAAATACATAATTAATCAATCAATTAATTAACTAATTTACTATTAAAAATAATAATTATTTAATTCAAAGTATACCTATTCGACATAAATCTCTAATTAGTCTTACTAATGTAATTCTAACATTAACAACATTATCTGTTGAAAAATTTTTCAAAATAGGGATGAAATATCTTTCAAATTCAGGTTTAGGAAATGCTGATAAAGCTAGAGCTCGACAAATTTGTATAAATCTAAATTATGTAATAAACAATAAACAATGAATTATATTATAAAATGGAATAATAACAATCATTTAATCATTTATTTTCTTACGCTACTCTTGATCGAAATTTATTCTCGAATGCGAATTCACGCACACAATTTATCAATTCAGCAAATAATGTATCATCATCATAAACAACTTCAAATAAAGCTGGAAACTAAAAGAAATAAAATCAATAAAATCAATTAATAAGTAAATAATATATATATATTGATTAGGATTATGTAATATTTTTTACAAATAAGTCATAGTTATAATATATTGGTCATTTAATTTAAAACTTACGCAAGCAATTGCAGTTTCTCTCACAGTAGCAACATCATCTTTAACAGCTTTTATAGCTAACGGCAGTAAATAATTTATTACATTTCTGCTATCAAACAGACGGCATATTGTTGGCATTTGCCTTTACATATTTTCAAAAGAGCAAAATCAATTAAAAAAATGAATATAAATGCAAATTACAAAAAAAGAAAGCTTCATACCTTGCAATTGTATTTCGTAAACGCCATCGTTGTTTTAAATCATCCCATATACCAAATAAAGGAGGCAGACAATTATTTCTAGCTGTTTGTGGCAAGCAACTAATAAATGAAGCAAGATTTTCTATAACACCAGATTGAACTTCATCTGCATCAACAAGATAGAGAGTAAAGACCGCTAATAAACATTCTTCTGCTTTTTTAGGACCAATAACTTTTGCTATTTCATGAAGCGAATAAGATAATGATCTTCTAACCTTAGCCTATCAAAAATAATGAAAAGTCAAAGCGAATTAAATTCAGAATCATTTTTACAATGGCTGGAACAACTAAGATATAAAAAATCAAAAATTTTTTTAAATAATTATACCTGTATGTCTCGTGTTAATAAGAGATAAGTTTCTTTAAGATCATCCCAACGGCTTTCACCCAAAGTTAAAACAACAGCTATTTTAAATTAGAAAAAATTTCTCAATAAAAGAAATATTTTTTTAAAATGTTATTACACACATAACATTTCTATTTTCTTTATTTAAAGAAATAAATACCAGGAAAATTAAATGCACAAATAAATGGTCTTTCAGGATCCCTTTGTTTAAGGCCACTGTATATTTCACCAGGGACATTATTGTTGTTGTTGTTGTTATTGATTAAACTTAGGAAATATTGAACCAGACTTTCAGGTACTTTTCCATTTGGGTAAAATAATGCAATTAGTTCACCAATAATATCCCCTGTAGCTGATCTTACACTTCTGCTTACGTCTCCGGCAAAAAGTTCAATTCCACTCGTTGCACGTTCAGATTTCATTTCATCTGGAAGCCGAGAACATATTGTAGGAAGGATTAAGCAGCATGAACGGCGCACGTGCCAAATTGCATCATTTGAGAAATGGTCGTATATAGGTAACTTTTGACATCATTTATTTATTTTCCTGAATATCAACAATCTCTATAATATTTTCAATTGCTCAAATTGAATTAAATTAATATTTACCAATTTTGATGTAATGGTGTCCAATGGTAATACTCCTGACAAAGTTCCCAAAGCCAAAACTGCTTCCTATACATACACAACAACAGCAAACAAAATACTAAATTTCAATTATTTATAACAAATGATAATAAAAATAACGATAATAATAATAGCGACAATGATGATGATGATGATGATAAAGACAATTCATACCTTTCGCACATAAAATACTTGCTCATTGATCATTTTTTCCAATTCTGGCAAAAATAAACGAGTACATCTTTCTGGTCCAACGATAGGTGCCAAAGAAGATATTAACTGTATATAAATGTATGCATATATATAAAAGTTCATAAGATAATAAATAACAAATTATTATTAAAGATAAAAATACATACAGACATCATTGTCATTCTTCCCAATTCTGCTTCTTCTTCCCTACCAGACACAATGCTAACACCATGTTCATCACCATAATGTTCCCATTCATTTATTTCTTCCTTTCTAAATTTCTCTTGATCTAATCTACCAATGCCTAGAACGACACCTTCTAATATTTCTTTTTCTAATAAGTCTTTTTTTTTGGATTTAACACCAAGTTCCTCTAATACCCGTTCAACAAGTGACTGAATTGTAGCTTGAGCTGCTTGTGAAATTCTCGTGTTTTGATCAAGAAGAAGAGCACGGAGTAAAAAAGTAAAGGCAGAAGGTGATAAATACGGAGTGTTATTAGCCGGAGATGGTGTTTGAGATGATGTTTGTTGCGAATTATAATGTTGTATTGGTGTCTGTGGTCTTTGGAGAGTTTGCGATCTTTGAGCTGTTGGGGGTCTTAAATCCACTATGTCAATTTGTGAACAATCTGCGGCTTCTCTGAGTGTACAATGCTATTTAATGATAAAACAAGCAAACAATAACAATATCATTTAAAATATTTAATAATTATTTTGAATATACACTATACATATATTTTTTGTTATTATATAATGAAAACACTTACCGAATAATAAAACCATATGATATCATCCAATTGAGTAGCGAAAGCTTCTTTAACATGGTCCTCTAACAAAATGCAGTAAATTGAAAATTGACAACTGTAAAATGCGAAATCAAGGGTATCCAGAGCGAAAAGTACCTAACACAATCAATCAATTAATCAACCTGGATCGGTTCCTAGAGAAATAATTAATGGTAACACATATTCTAAGGCTTCACTGACTTCAACATCCCTTATTAATGCTGGAAATTCTTTTGCAATGAACACTCTCAAAAAAAATATTTTATTTTTATCTGTCAGCGTCAATAAGCAATTATTTTTTTTTTAAAACAAAAAATCAATGTATAAAATATTATTTGCTTACCTATGAAATGCTAATTCACTTCTTACATATAAAGATATTTTTTCAAGTGGTGATAATGTTTCATCTATCAGAAGTTCTTCTTCCATGTCGTCTTCTATAAGCAAATCCAAAAAAAAGAATTAAACTTGGCATATACACATTTTTACGTCTTTTCTCAGCCTCTCACATTCCCCTTTTGATAATTCCCTCCTTGACATTTTATAGACCAGCAGCACCTAGTTAATATAAAATATACACGTGTACATACCAAATGAGCTTTCTGATAAACTAGTCAGTAATAACTCTTCAGAAATCAATTCAGTGTCTACTTCAAGTTCTTCTGCTTCTTGAAAAGTATTGGGTTCTTCTTGGTTTTCTGAAATAAGTTCTGTTGTAACATAAGACATAATTTAATATTAATTATAGCGTTCTAACGGTCTTACTTGTTATTGAACTAAAAAAATAAGGTAAGAGGTACTTAATAAGCACTCATACCCGCCATAGGTAAAAAAAATAACTATTAGTTTAATTGATAGTTTTTTAGGTATATTTTTTGGTCTAGTGTATGATTTTAGATGGCACCAAAAAATTTTTAATTCGTGATCCGCGATAGAAGTAGTAGACAACACAATTAGTAAATTTTGGGGGATCGTCATTATCAAAGTGGTTACTTCCCAAATTTTTTTTACCAACACACATGATTAGTATTACACAGAATATTAAATCATATGATCTCAAATACTTATCTCATTGTCTCACGATTTTATATAAAAAATATAAAAAATAAAATTTATTATTTTTATTAAAACAACAGTCCATGAATGAAATGAAGCAAGACTATTTATTTATGCTAATGTATACATGTAAGTTTTTTAAATAAAATGAATATTTACTATGAGAAATTATTTTTATTATTAAATATAAATATAAAATAGTCTCTATTATCTTTAACGTTACTTTTTTCCAACATTTTATCAGAGATATCTTTTTTCATTGCAGATGAACATCTGGATATCCAATTTCTACTTTTAGAATTTGTTCAAGTGTAAAATTATTATTATTATTTGCTTCTTCAACAAGTTCCTGGTGTGTATCTTTGGCTTTTATCATAATTACCAGAATGAAAGTAGGTTTTAAGAAAATCTACAATTATTTTTTCCACAACCTTTTTTCCAAATTTTATTTCCCCTTAATTGCACATCCTAATTTAAGTGGAAATTTGTCTTTATACATTGTCTAAATTAACATTAATATATCATGATCATTAAATTATATGGTTTTTATTATATATTTAGGAATATTCTTATCCTTCTTTTAAATTCAAAACATCACAGTGGAAAAAATCAGAATTCTGGAAGTTTCATGCATTATAAGTGTCATTATTTTCTAGATGTTTTTCCAATATTAAAAGATTATCTAAACCAAATTCATTCACTCCAGAATATTTGGTTTTTTTTTAATTTTTTGATATAATGCATTAAGAGCATTACTTATATGATCTTTTTCTTCACCAGACTCCCAAATATATCCTGGCTGACCTTCACTACCTTTAAAAACATGTACAGTGAAATTTTGACCAATTAATTCTGTTACTATTGACATTCCTACGTATATAGGAAATGATTCTTGCCCATTGTCAGTAATTATTTCCAACCACCAATTACATGAAAAAGATCCAAAATGTAATTCAGGAATAATGAGACCACGAGAAATAAGTGTAGGAGCAACTATTTTACTTTTAATCATAATTAAATACACAATTGTATAGTAAGCGAGTTAAATTTATTATGTCACAATTTACTAATTAATTTTCAAAATTTGGTGCACTTGTATCACAAATCACGAATTAAATAGCTTCTTTGTCGATCAATTCACATTTTTTTTATACACTTCTTCGTAAAATTCATTTTCTAAATTCATCATGTATCGAAAAAAAAAAATCATGATGTATGAATGAATACCCTTTGGTAAATTTGGAAGGTAAATAAAATTAATATTAAATTGAGGAACCGTCATATCAGATAAAGTGAACATTAATTATTATTATATCACAGATAATTAATTTACAAGGATCAAATTTAGCAGATAATAATAATAATAAAAAATTACTTCGCATTTTAATATTAAGGGTAGTAGATCTATATAGTCATGGCAAAAAAATTCATGTGACTTCATCAGACTTGCATCTTGAGAGCATAATAATAATAAGCTATCATTAAACGCAGTTTATTATGTAAAAAAATGTGAGTACATTTTACAAATATTTACCTGTGTTCGGAGTGGGTAAATTCTTATAATAATAACCTCTGTACGTTGCCAAATATTAATACCGAATTTTTTTTTTTTTTTGAAACCGCTTATTACTATTCCCCGATAACCCGAAATTTTTATTTTTAAAGTAGCTGCACAACGCCTTCGGTTTAATTGTGTTATTATTATATTAATAATATTAATTTCCTTTTAATTTCCATTATTATTATTACAAAACAAGTCACTAGAATATAATAGATAAATTAAGTGAGACTTCCTTTTTAGGACGAGAAGAATTAATGAAACAAAATTAAATGCGTGGTATTTTTTATTTTTTTTTATAAATAATTTTCGTAAGCTTTTAAATTTTCTCTAATTATTTAAAATTATATATTAATATAGCATATACAATATATATATATAAATATAAATATAAATATAAATATAAATATAAATATAAATATATTAACATAACACATATATAATATACATACATAAATACATAATAATATATAATGAAATTAACGAAATTTCAATTTCAACAATTTCAACCTGAACTTTCTGTAACTTCGTGGTTTATCAAACCAAGATCCTTGCTTGTATTTAGAGGATTTACAACAACTTATTCATGGATAATATTAATTGGACGTTTAATTCAAAGTAGAGATAACTTGCTCAATTTTTTTTGGTATTTTACACATTGGTCTTTTTTGGGGTTAACAATTTATTTCACTGTAAGATTTTTTATCTATTGTTTTTGAAAAGAATTCAATCATGGAGAAAAAATTTAATATATATATATATATAATTGTAATATATAAAGATGGCATTTTATCATTCTGCAAGGTATGTAAAAACGCGAACAACAATTTCGTTTGATCAACTTCCCAAATTCGTTAATTGGATTTTCTGGATACTTTATCATACTATTGTACACTTCCAGTAAGTTTTTTTATAAAAGTAAAATGTTTCCTAAATATTTCAAACATTTGTAATAATGATGATAATAATAATGATAGTGGTATAGTAGTGATTGTGTATTGGTTATTTCTTTCCCGTGAATTATTGCGAAAAAATCCTCCACCAGTGGATTTGTGGCTGATGACATCAGGCAAGTATGCCATGCTAATTCATGATGAAATTCAAAAGATAGAGTAGATCCTGTTCTTTTTTCTTGATTTTTGGCTAGTTCCAATCTAAAGTTTGTTTTTTTTCCCCCACTTAGTCCATGGTGTAAACTTCTTTTTTATGATAGTCGAACTGTTTTTAAATAAACAAATGATTATATGGCAATTTGGTTTTATAACAGTATTTATACTGTTATTGTATACGTTTGAAGCATGGCTAATTTACGCAGTGTAAGTATTTCACGTAATATGTGAAATCACAAATTAAATTCCATGAAAAAAACTCTCAAATTTATTCATATATATTTTTTTTTTTATTTAATTATTTTAGTAGAAATTATTGGGTTTATCCTTTTCTTAATTTTAATATTGGACCAATAGCTGCCGTATGGTATATCGGACTCTTGGTATTTTTCATTATTGTATATGTAATAATATTTTGGATTCATAGGTTTAGAGATTTTCTTGGAAAAAAATATGGTAGTGGTGACAAGAAACAAGATGTTGAAATGCAACAAGCTTCAATTTAAATTAGAATTGTCATCATCATATATATAAATAAATAGAATATATTTATTTTAATTTAATTCACATATTTTTAAAAATCACATCAAATATAAATATTATAAATGAATAAGCTGTTAAATAGTTTTTTTGGTTTTTGTTGAATTTGATGGAAGGAACTTTTGCAAATATTTAATTTCTGCTTCCAAATCCTATATTAATTGTTATTAATAATATTATCATTTTTGAAGATATATATTTTGCAAAAAATAATAATGAAATCTCTGAAATAAACTAACCTTGCAATATTCGTCTAATGGTAAATCATTTCTATCATAACCTGTTATTAAAAAAGAATTTAGTTTATTGATTTTTTTGTTTTATTCCAAAAATAAAATAAAATAAAACTTACCAAATGGATTTTCAATTTCAGATCCTAATATAAATTTATTTAAATAATAATATTTAATATTTAAATTATATTCTTTATAAAGAAAGAAAAGCAAGATAACAAATCCCAACTTACCAATAGCTTCAACGCCAAAGAGAATAAAGGCAATCATCATAACAACTGGAATTGTAAGCCAATAAAGTGTTGAAACAAGCGTGAATGGAAGGACCCAAACATAAATGGTTACAGCTTGTTTCCTAATAAAATAAGAGGGAGCAAGAAAAAAAAACTTTTTAATATTTTAATGATAAATAATAAATAACTCTCTATCATTATTATAATGCTTACAAGTGAATTCTATAAGCAAACGGGATTGGAGTATTGCCAATTCTTTCTAAGCTACCTAAAATATCAATTAAAGTATTTAAAGAACCAGATATAGCGCCAAATGCGGCTCCAGTAATTTTTGGATTGTTTGGATCTTTATTATCAAGAACTTGTCTATCATAATATGCACCCAAATGAAAAACTATTTCCAGAGGTAAACTCATGCTTGCATCCAAGTTAGAATTATCTTTAAGTTTACCATTGTTGAAATAAATGGAAGTTTGACTCCATGAACCTGCCAATGAACGAATTGCTGCTTTTGTATGTGGTAAACCTTGATGATGATGATGATTATCATTATGGACAACAATTGTTGGTGCTTCACTTGGTGGCAAGTCACGATTATCAGGATGATTTGGATCATCTCTATGATCTTCGCTACCTCCACCCCCCAAATCTGTATTCTCTTGTCCCGCATTTCCATCAAATACTGCCAATTGAAATCCATCAGGAAGGAGATCTTCTAAATCAAACCATTCTGTACCAAATTCCAATCTCAAATGATGCTTGACTGCCACAGCAAATGCTAATAACATCTTGATAATAGCAACCTTTTCATTATGATCTTGAGGATTTTTGAATTCTCTAATACCGACCCAAGTAAGACGAGAAACATTACGAATTTGAGTACTAATTAAAATTCAAAGATTCATCATCATCATCATCATCATCATTATTATAAAATAAATTAATTTAAAAAAAAAGTAAATTAAGAAATACCATAGATTACTAAAAAGTTTTCTTCCTTCATAATACCTATCATAAGCATTATTTGTACGAAAAGCTAATAAGAGACCAACAACAACAGCAACAGACCCAACTAAAAAAACGATTAGATTTTATACTTATTTAGTAAATTCGCAAAATCAAACAATAAATAGTAAATAGTGTTAATTAGTGTTAGTATATGATAATAATAATTTTCGTACTTATGCTATCGGGTAACGTGATATTTTTTTTATCAAAAATAATATACAAAACAGTTACGACAGTAGAAATAGCTGTTGAAAAGAAAACAATTGGTATAATTGCAACAATAACCTATAGCATTAATAAATAAATAAACAATTAATTAATTATCAATTAATAATAATGATGATGGAATACATCACTTACAGATCCTCTCATATGAAAGATATCAGGACGTCCCCATCCTCGATGTTTAGATATTGTTTTTGAAAGTGATAGATTTTCTTCATAAGGATTTTTTATTTGAGAATTAGCAGACATCTTTAATTCATAATCTTTGTAAGAAAGAAAAGATTTTGATGGTGATCGGCTTCATACCATTATTTGTAACATAATGTTTCCACTTTCATTTTTGTAGAACAAATGTTTGGATATCAATAATAAATAAACAGATCATTTTTATCAAAAAAAAAAAATTTTTTTGTCCAAGCTGTTTTTTGCTATTGCAAAAATGTGCGGAGATTATGGGTAAAATAACTTATATGTATGATGTGTATGATGTAAAAGGTGAAAATTTTCTTGGTTGTTTCAACTTTTTTATTCCTTTTTTTATTAATTATTCTATATACACTTTTTAGTATGATTATTGTACTACTACTACTAGTATATGTATATATACTGTACACCCTGATGATCATTTTAATAATCGGAAATGTTACGCCTTATGCAGTTCAAAATTTTATTAAAACTGGGACTGCATTAAGTAAACATGTTTTTAAAAGTTATAAACTTGAAGTCTCGTCGAGTTGCATTATTAATGAAAATTTTAAATTAGACAAAAAATCCCGAAAACTTTGAACTTAGTAAAAAACCTTCAAAACTCCGTTGAATCATGGATTACGTCATTAAGTAAGTTCACTTAAAATACCTCGAATTATATATGGTTAAAATTTGAGAAAATTTGATCAAGTATAAACAACAAAACGTAAAGCCTTAAAATTTGCATTTTGTCAACTTTATTAAGTGCTTTATATGATAAAATTACGGGGTGG